CGTGCCTTCGTGCACACCAAAAAAGGAAGCATGACAGTCCAGACTGTTTCATCGGAGGTTGAACCCCGACAGTCTGCCCAAGATGCATCTGCGTGTGTGTGTGTGACGTCATGTTTGCTTTACACAACTCCATAGAAAAAGGTTCCACTATGCCAGACTGAACCAAGCACCGATTCCTCGATGCACGTAGCACCATTACACTTAGCACGAAGCACAGATCCCATGAACCACCCGCCGATGCACGTAGTACCAAAAGCAAACCAAGAACAGAGTAGCACGAAGTGGCACAAATGCACCCAGTAGCACCAAGTAGCACGAAACTGGCACCAATACACGAACCAAACACGACCAAGCATGAAGTACCAAACACGAAGTACCAAGCACTGAGAGAGAAAGGGAGAGGGAGAGAGAGAGGGGGGGAGAGAGAGAGAGGGAGAGGGAGATCCACAGAGAGAGAGAGAGCGTTACGGTAGGCAGGCCGTGGGCAGGTTGCATGGATCGCGTACGCTGTAGGTAGGTCTCCTAGGTCGCGTAGGTCACCTAGGTGGGCGTAGGCAAGTCAGTAGGTCGCGTAGGCAAGACCATAGGGCACAAAGTACCAAGAGCGACGTACCAAGCACTGAGAGAGAGAGAGGGAGAGGGAAAGAGCGGGCCACAGAGAGAGAGAGAGAGAGACCTCTGCGGTACGCAGGCCGTAGGTGAGGAGGGCGACGGGATGAACAGCGGGATGGCGGATGTGCGAGCAGAGGAGCAGATGTGTGGGTAGTATAGAAACCGAAGACGACGGGAGGAGATGACGGGACGAGACGGAGGCGGAGGCGAGCGGAGGTGCACGGAGGTGTGAGCGGAGGTGGGCGGAGGCAGGCGGAGGTGATCGGAGGCGAGCGGAGGTGGGAGGAGGTGGGTGGAGAGCAATCGGAGATGGGCGGAGGAGGTGAGCGGAGGCTGGTGGGAAAGAAAGCGGAGACGGCGGGAGGAGATGGCGGGAGGAGACGCCAGGTGAAGGTGGCGGAGGCGGGCTCCTAGGCTGGTGGGAAAGAAAGCGGAGACGGCGGGAGGAGATGGCGGGAGGAGACGGCAGGTGGAGGTGGGCAGAGGTGGGCGGAGGTAGCGGAGGTGGGCGGAGGGTGAGCGGAGGTGGGTGGAGGGTGAGCGAACATGCACGGAGGTGGGCGAGGTGGTTGGAGGCCGCCGAGGTGGGAGGAGGTCGGTGGAGGTGGTCGGAGGCCGCGAAGTCGAAGCCCTTGACCCAACGTGCCGTTTGACACGAACAGAGCCATGGCGTCGGCCCGCAACGGCCCTCTTCTCAACGGGCGTGCCAATCCGGGCTGCCCACGGCCTGGATTTCCGGGAGATCTTAAGACTTTAAGATCGCACGTCGATCCAGGCTGTCCGGCAAAGCGGACGGTCTGGATCGCCGCACAATCTTAGTCTTAAAGAAGTCTTAAGAACGCGCGGAAATCCAGGCCGTCGGCCGGTAGTCGGTGGGCATCCCGCATCTGCCAAATGTCATGAACCAACTAGCATTTTCTAAAAGTATAGGGACGTAGTAGCTGGCTGGCACAGCCGGGAACCCCTTGTATTGCCAAGCAAAAGTAAGTCCTTGACTCCCTTATTGAACTCATTCTCAGAAGGTCTCCATTGCGTAAGAAGCTCTCTAAGACTTAGTTTGACAAAGTGCAAGGAACCTGACTGTTCACAGCTTGCTTGTCTCAATTGCGTAAGAAGCTCTCTAAGACTTAGTTTGACAAAGTGCAAGGAACCTGACTGTTCACAGCTTGCTTGAGAGCATCACACCGCATGCATACATGTCACCACACGTACAAAGTGGCTTCACTCAAAACCAGATTGAAATGAGAAATGAACCAAGTAGCGCTGCTTATATTAAAAATGTCACTTAATACAAAGAGTATCACGAGTTCCAGAACTCAGCGCCAACAAAAGATAGTCTCTCTCATCATACAACAGCATGCGGTCTGGCTCAACCAGCACCTTCTTCGGATTACAGATATGGCGCCAACAGGTAAGTGTCACCTCCTGTCTTCTTTCTCTCCCTGATCTCTTCTCTCTTTCTCTAGAACTATGTCTTGGTTCTCTCTTTCTCTCTGCATGCACACTCTCACCTACGAAGATCTACTTCGAATGTCACTCAATGTTATCCTACTGACTAACTCTCTACTACTAACATAAGCTGGCGCAGCTATGGCTTCCCTGCAGCCAGCGCCCAGCCTCCCTTCTTCCTGGCGCAGCTCTACTTCAGCCAGCGCCTGTCCAGCCAGCTAGCGCACAAGTGCGGCAGCACTTCCACGCATCAAATGCCAGTGGAAATCTGCCTTGTGGGGAGGCAGTCTCGTTTCTTTTAGTGCTGGCCTCCCCAAACGAGGGCTGAATCCTGTCTGTCCTGGGTCCTTTCGCAGTCCCAGCTTCTGTGTATGTGTCCCAGATTCTCTGTCCTTCAAGGGTTGCTGCTGYTGCGGCCTGTAGGCCTCAATTTCGGACTGCCTATCTGTATCTAGACTATCCCCTTGACTCGAATCTGGACTGAGACTTCACTCTTCAACTTCTTTTTAGACAGACACATCTTTTGTATGAACAGACACTTTTACTGCACGAACAGATACATTGACTGCACGTACAGACACATCTCTGCATGAATAAGCATGACTTGCACATCCCCTGGATGAACCAATGTGACCCAAATATTTAGATTTTGCAACTGTTAGTCCAGGGGCACAACTGTGACCTTTGGCAATGTCTTTTGCTTTAGTTTAGAATGTGACCTTTGACCCAGAGAAAATGTCTTTTGATCTGTTTTCACGAATCGGGATCTGGGCGAGGGACCCCAATATGCTGCTTCGTCAAACAGGGGCTGAATAGTGTAAAGGCCCTTTGAAAAGGACGTACCCTTATCATATTCTGTGTTGAGCAAGTGTGACTGAGTGCCCTTAACACGTAGCATGATAAGGATGTATCCTCTAAAGATTCCAAAATATTGAGAAACAAAATATGAACCCAAGCTGAGAGCGGTCGTTGGGCCCCTATTTGACTAAACCAAAAAAAAAAAAAAAAAAACGCAGATTTCATGAACATAAAAGAAAACAAAGAGTGTCTGCTCTGAAAGAATCTGCCGCTTCCCCGTAGCTTGCCACCAGACTCCCTAGAAAATTCCATACAGAGCACTCTAAGATGTCAATGTACACATACAGCTCGCACAAACAGCAAAATGATTACAACCTGAACAATGTGCGTCCACAAATGGCCAAGCAAACACAAATGAAGAAATACATAACAGCCCTGCAGCTCAACAGAATCCCTCAGAAGCAGGTTCACTGTAAATGACAAATTCCAAAATGGATTGACAATATCGTGCCTCACCAAAAGAAAGAGCAACTTAGCAACATTCCGAATACAATGGTGCATGCATCGTTCACAACCTAGAACCATGAGAAAGATGAATTTGCAACTTAACAGGTGGCTGCAGAGATTTACCGTAGTACCAGCCGAAGGAGCTCCACCGCCTGCAATCGCACCAGCAAGCCCAATAGAATTCAGCACACTTGAAACAATCTGCCATGCCAGAACAAGAAACACAGTCAGAGTCTGCAACACCGAGTGCCGACTTTAAGCCCCGCGTTAAGACATAGGCAATGACAATAAAATCATCATCACCCGTCACCTTATCATTACCACACAAACCACCATCTTAAGGTCGCAGATAGGAAGATAAGAGCTATTGATAAAGATATTTTAATCTGTAAGCTATACAAAAGTCATGTCAACCAAGATGCACACCCAGCATAGACACACCAGTAGTGTCAACAAGGCAGGATATTCATCAACTGATTCAAGAAGATACCAAGAGAAATATGTTACTAGATAACCTGTTGCGGCTTCGCTCGCAAAGGAGAAGAAGTTGCATGGCATTAAGAGGGGCGTCGTCAGGGAAGGGGGGGGTGGGGAAGAGGGGCCGTGGGCCCTGTTTTGGTGGTGGCATACCTGTTGAGGGTTCTGAGAGCCGTTCGCAGGTGCTGTTTTGCTCAGATGTGGCGTTTGAGGTTCCTTGTGTAGGACCACTCCTGTTCTGAAGTGAGTTCTGTGGCAATCCGTCCTACCTGTTGCAGCTTCGCTCGCAAAAAAAAAATGAAGGGAAAAGGATGCAAATTAGGTGGGTTGGGGTTTGTTGGTCCAGGTGTGGGTGTGGGTTGGGCCGGGGTGTTTTCAAGGCTCACCTGTGCACTGTTGTTGAAACTGCCGATGCAACGCTGCTGCTGCTTTGTATGCCTAAAATATATGGGTTTGATTTTTTTTTTTTTGTCCTGTCAAAGACCTGATTACAGTTTGCATTCCTTTCAGTTGTGTTTTGCTGGGTAGGTGGCTGTTCGGATTTGAACACACCTGTTGTATGTGTGTCACACGTTGCATACCTGTCTCCTGGCCACCACAAATGTTTTTTCTCAGATGTCGGTCGTGTTGGGGGGGACGGGGCAGGCCTGTAGTTAGTCAGATTGGGCTCTCTCTCTCTCTCTCTCTCGCTCTCTCGCTCTCTCGCTCTCGCTCTCTCACGCAACGCATGCTACTTCTTTTAAAGGTCTCGATGGAACACGGATCAGATATGAAACGGATCGGAGCAGATACTACACTTGATCGTGGCGGGTGGGGTGAGGGGGGGTGTGGCGGCACAGAGTTAGTTAGGTTGGTCTCTCTCTCTCTCTCTCTCTCTCTCTCTCTCTCTCTCTCTCTCTGTCTCTCTCTCTCATCCAACACATGCTATTTCTTTTAAAGGTCCCGATGGACCACAGATCAGATATGAAACTGATCGGAGCAGATACTACACTTGATCGTGGGGGATGTAGTGGGGGGTGGGTTGGCACATAGTTAGATATGGCTCTCTCTCTCTCTCTCTCTCTCTCTCTCTCTCTCTCTCTCGTCGCGACTGACCATAGCAGATACTACACTTGACTGTGGGGCGTGGGGTGGGGGGTAGGGTGGCACGTAGTTAGTTAGATTGGACAATCTCTCTCTCTCTCTCTCTCTCTCTCTCTCTCAATGTATGGAGGGGGAAGGAAAGAGAAAGAAAGAAAACAGATGTCTCTCTCTCTCTCTCTGTTACATCTTCGACTCACACGGGTCCTACCGGACCCGACTTAGGACACACCAGGGCCTAAAGGCCAGACCTTTGGGGTTACAGGTTCTTGAAGCTGCCGCCCGCCGATTGAGGCTGAACCGTCCATCTGGACGGTCCAGGGTCTGGCCTGGCCACGCAGCATTAAGGCCAGACCACTGCCCACCGGTATAAGTACCGGTATCCGCCTCAGTTGAGGGATCGGCCTACCGGAACTCTACCGGCACGGCATGGTCAGTACTAGTGTACTGCTTGGATGCGCTAAACTTAGCGCAGGGGCTGAAGCAGGAGCGCAGCATAGCGCAGCAGCAGCAGGGCGACTAAGCCAGCACGGCGGCCATTGCCGCCTGAGGTACCGGGAGCTTGGAGGGTCTCTCCTCCTCTCCCTTGCCAGTCCCCTCTCTCTCTCTCTCCTCTTCCTCCTCCTTCTTCTTCTTCTTCTTCTTCAGATTGGAGACTATCCAGTTGGACAGAGATCAGAGTTGGATTTCGGTGATACGAGACTGTGGTACTTACCTGATTGGATACTTGGAGATTGTTGAGGTTGACACTCGGCTGCATCACAGTTGGACACCGGTTACATCTGGACTCGGTTATCTCCGACATTGGTGACCTTTGGTCCTCGACATTTTATTCTTGTTATATGACATTCTGGACTACCATTTCGGAGACCTACCAGACTCTATCTTGTGACCTATCGGTGTGATCTACCTCCTTCGTCTCTCCTCCCACCTTTCATCTGTGTATGTGTGTACGGGATCTGGGTGTCGTCTATGAATGACCCAGACCCCACCATCTCATGATTGTATGTGTGTGGAGTGATGCCATGTAGGTCAGTCTATGTGAGTCAGTCTATGTGAGTCAGTCTATGTGAGTCAGTCTATGTGAGTCAGTTCGTTATCAGACTTCCGCTGCATAAATGCTCATCCTATATTGGTTGATCTTTGGTTCTGCCCATACTCATTGAAGTATGTGACAGTTCTGGTATCGGAGCAGACCAAAACGGATCTGCTCACCAGGTAAGACCGTTTAGAATTAGGTTATMACGTTTGATCTTCTAAATCGGCGCTGAAGTATTATCAAGTTCAAAGTTGCAAATTTTCTTTTTTTTCGGTATTCTCGCTATTTCGGCATTTCCGTTTCAATTCAGTATTCGGACTTTTATTTCGGATTTCTGTTGTACACGGTATGCTGTTTAATGAGATCCGAGCGTTAGGTCGTAGGTGCGTTTGTCGACAGCGAGGGCGTCGTCGTGCGAGCGCGTAGCGTTAGGTCTTAGGTTCGTTTGTCGATAGCGTAGGGTTAGGTCGTAGGTCCGTTTGTCGATAGCGCAGGGTTAGGTCGTAGGTATGTTTCTCGATAACGAGGCCGTCGTCGAATAGGGCCGAAAGAACCGTTGCCACCGTAGGGTTTTCCCGCCCTCGACTCGCATGCAATGGGCGGCAACGGCCCGGGCCTACCGGCTGGTCCTTCAAATCACGCGTCGATCCCGGCCGTTCGGCAGGCCCGACGGTCCGGATGTTCGCGCAATCTTAAAGTCTTAAGATTGCGCATCAATCCAGGCCGTTCGGCAGGCCCGACGGTCCGGATGTTCGCGTGGTCTTAAAGTCTTCAAAATCTAAGACCACGCAAACATCCAAACCGTCGGACCGAACGGCCCAGATCGCAGATTTCTGTGCTTAGCGATTTTAATAATGTAGGGATCAAATCCCTCAGGTCACAGATTCCCCACCGAGATTACTGTGCTCCAGAGCAAGGCTGCAACAGTGCAACATTTAGTTTTACAGAGAAATGTGCCATAATGTCCTTCCCTCACTTGATTGGCTCCATTCATCGCTTTCAGCCTTTTTTAAATCATTTTGAAGTCATCTCTCTCTCTCTCTCTCTCTCTCTCTCTCTCTCTCTCTCTCTCTCGCTCGCTCGCTGTGTGTGTGTGTGTGTGTGCGTGCGTATGTGTGTGTGTGTGTGTGTGTGTGTGTATTTTTAAATTCTCACCACAACAGCCCCTATTCCACCCAGATGACTAGATGCAAAATCGAAACAGCTTTAATCCTATTGCAGACACCGAGGGCGAGTCAGTCCAACAATGAAACAGTTTCACCTCTACAGCAAGCAACATAGCGTAAAACACAAGTGATTAAATCTGTTTCTTCTAAGGTGTTATCTGCACCGGACACATGGAACAACAATGAGACAGCAATGTGCCAAGGTCTTATCTACACCAGACACATGGAACAGACGGGTAGTCTTACCCTCGCCTGACGGACTACGGAGCCTACACTCATCCTCTCTCAAATGAAGTGTAGCCCCTGTTGCCTCTACCAAATCCATTCCTAACACTGTATCAAAAGGAAGGTCATCCTGCACGAGGAGAGTTAGGGAATGGAGAACTTTCTCCACCTTCCCATCCTTCTCTAGGCGAAAATATGCCTGGACTCCCTCTACATAGTCCTCAACCCGCATCGTGCGGTTGTCTGCGAGGACACTGACTATGGGGTCTACTAGCTTCTGGACCTTTAGTCCTACCCTCAGCTTCTTCAGTGCCCTACAACTAATGTAACTACGGGTAGCCCCTGAGTCTATAAGGGCCCCTACTCTACTCCTGAACACCTCTACGTCTACCAAAATCAGTTGTCCCTTACTCTCCCTTTTCATTTTGGCCCAGGCTTGCATCCTCTCCTTTAACTCTTCTGCCACACCTGTGAGGGACGTGCCATAAGAGACGCTAACACAAGCAATCTCTGGACAGCTGTCTAGGCACGGGCGTGCAACCTCTGCCATAGGCTCATGTGGGTTAGGAGCGTCCTGTTCGCGCGCGCTCACTTCTCCACATGGCCTAGAAGTAGGGGCGGTTGCAACCCCTCATGGCGGCTGCCTTTTGACGACTGAGCAGCCCAACGGGCCTCTCTATACTTTGGACAAAATTTGATAACATGGGCCGGGTCACCACAGAATATGCACTGACCCCAGTCCACACGTTCTTGCCATACACGCTGGTCCAAGCCCAAATCTTCCCAGGGCCTGCCCTGTGGCAAGCCTGGGTGCCATCCTCCTTGAGGTGCCCTTCCACCTCCTCGCTGTGGGGACCGGAATGAACCTTGGCATTTGACAGGGGACCTTGACCCCTACCTCCCGCTTGGCGGTTTCCTTGGCCGCCAACCCCCTGTGCGCCCGGTCCTCGGCCACCCATGGCCTCGCCCCTTTGGCCCCGGCCTCCTCCTCCTTGCGGCCTCCCCCCAGCCGCAACAGCAGCGTAAGACCTCCCCTGCCCCACACTACTGCCATCACCTTCAAGGCCCCACTCAATCTGGTCATATGGGACCTCATCGGTACCACCTTCTACTGTCAGGATCATTTTATCCTTGGCCTTTACTTGGCCTGAGATGGTACGATTCTTCCACTTCTTCCCCTTCTCTAAATCCTTATGCCAGAAAGTGGTAACTGG